ATTACTGCAAATGAGTAGTGCGACAAAGTAGCATACTTTAATTAAATGAAAGTAAAGTTTTCAAAACAACTGTGATTAACTGTAAACTGATTGTAAAAACATCTAAAAATGCTTAACATGTATGCATATATTTCTATATGTTAATTGAATATTGGCAGCTTTCAGATCAGCTGATTTGTGTATTTATTCCCATCATTTATGAATATTAATCTAATGACTCACAGTCATCTAAATTAATTAAACAACTCATATAATTCAGGTTAACAGTATAAACAATTTGAATTATTTTAAATATCCTCAATAAAACTCGAAAGATTTATCTTTTACTTCAATAACGAGTTTGTAAGTGACAGCAGAAACGTCAATGATGAAATGTGGAAGCACCATGCTGTCACAACTTTCCAATTTGTCTGCAAAGCAGCAGATAAATGACAAAAATAAGATGACAAGAATTTCAGGAAAAGTGGATGTAGCAGAACTGACACCAGAAAAGAGGCGTATCAGGTCCGAGATGCTGAGCCTGGATGACTGCTGCAGCTTTACACTACACACATTAGCAGGGGACCTTACAGCAATGTTTAGCATAAGCTATCACTTGGCAATTAATTTACAAAGAGAAAATATAGTGAGATCATCAGACAGAAGTAGAAAAACTTGGCAGAAGGAATCCAGAAAGTAAGAAATCAGCAGAAAAGGCTGTGAGGAAGAAAGAAAGCTGCTTACAGTAACACGCATTAATTTCCCTGAAGACGGGTGCTGAGGATATTAAGCCAAATAAAAGAGCTAAGCTCTGTGAGCTTCACTGATCCTGCTCCAACCAAAGCTTTACACAGTATGCTTCACCTTGGCAAACACACGCATGACCAAGACAGAGCTGTAATTAAATAGCTCTGGAGTAACTCAACCCGGCTTTCACCACATTTAAGACATTAACAGAACAGCAGAGTTTCTCCAAAATCAGTAATATACGCATTGATGCCCAGGTTGTCTCCATGTGTGAAGTTAGCGGGGGGTGAAATTATTTTCAGTGCCTTTCCATAACTTTTCTTTTCACCATATTAGCAGGTGGATCGTTAAAATCCCAAAAGATTTTAACTATCTTTCAGGATAGTTAAGCTGTGAAGATAGTTATATCAACAGAATAACACAGACCTGCACTGAAAATTAAAGCGCTGTAAGTGCTGGCTGCAACAGCAGGAGCTTTATTACACATCTGAGCCTCAACAGCACAGATGTTTCAGCGTTGATTGAGCTGAATCAGACACTTGAATCACGCACCCCAAAGGTGTGAGGGTTCAGGCTTCACTTTTTCATAGACTTGGCATGCTGAAAGCTCCTGTTACATATTGACTTTCAGCAACGTCATTAAAACAGTGGCATGCTCAAAAGCTTAATCAAAAAAATTTTTTAGAGAGATTAGGTAGACAATAATTGCTGAAAGATAGGGCAAATGAGCATGATATTGTATGCAGTTATTTAATTTAACTGTAGAAATGTTAGTAAAGGAACCTAGTTATAAAATAGTAACTATGGTGAAAATGTAGTATGATTTATTTACATAATTAGTCAAATTATCTAAACCAAAACTGTTGATGAAAACACCCCCACACTTCATCTACCTGACCAAGAAAGAAACTGTCATTATGCGTTAATTACTCTTAGTTCAAGAGTCATTTGAACCAGAGCATGAATTGTTGAGGTTCAACATTGCAAATACAAACTGGTTGAGTTTAATCTGGATTTTTATTTCACATCAAATTTATATTGACCGATCAAAGGGCGGTGTGAATAAAATGAACTCAAATTAAGAGCTAATACTAAAATATGCAGATAAACCTCCTCTCACAAGTCCTTTTTGATCTCAAATGTTTTGTTAAATTTAACCGTTTCCTCTCTTGCCTTGTCTTCGCTTTGTCCACTGTGATTTATTGGATCTCTGTCCTGATTTTTACTGAGAGGTTTGTTTCATAATTACTCTAAGTAGCCTTCATCAGCAATCATGAACCTTCAGAGACGGATAATATTTAATTACAACAGTCAAAATAGACTCTAACCACGTCTTCATTCCTACCTGGGTAAGGAGACATTAAGAAAGCACAACTCTTTGCATTAAATAAGATAAAGTGACACATAAAGAGTAGTTCAATTAGGTTGATGTAAACGATGGTCTCTAAATCAGTACTTGTGGAGTTCTTCAACAACACCTATTATTTCTCGTTTCCTCTGAGCGGTGTACTAAAAATGTATCATCAGTGTGTGAATTAGATCATTTCTAAAGGCAATTGGTGCCATAGAATTTTATTTAGGAGTGTCCAAGTAAACACAGTTATATGCATGCCATGCTTTTTAAATTGTATATGTAAAAACAATTAACCATGTATACTTTTGCTATCATAGTCTACTGTTACAAACAGTAATAGTTTCCTTACAGTATAAGACAGTTGAATGACTTCTGCACAGATTATTTAATGATATTGTCTATCGCTGACCAAAGATAGATTTTAATGCAATATGACTTTTGAACTGGGAAAACCTGAAATTGTCTTTGTTTTTAAGGGGAGGAAACTTATCAAATCTTTTGCATGCATTTTTCAAAGGTTTTGATGCAAGCTTTAATTTTCCTCAAAACCAGTACATCTGATTTATTGTTTACTTGACAATTTTATCGCTTAGATAAGGACTAAATTTTTTTGCCTGGGAAAAAAAACAGGAGTTCCTCTCATGGCTTTAGGCTGAGCCCTGGTGGAAGAATTATGAATTACAGCTATAGTGAAAATGAGAGAATACAGAGGTAATAGTTAAAACAAATAAAATAATCTTGTTTGCGTTATTATTATTTTTACTGAGAGAGAGAGACAGAGAGAGATTAAGATACATATCTAGTGACCGTATACAATGTTGAATTTTTTAGACTTTATGCATTAATATTTCTGAGATTGACTGGGTTACTTTTTAAAGATGGAGAAAAGAAGTAGCTTGAATACCTTTAACAAACTTAAACAAGCATCATTTTCCAGGTTTTCTTTGTAGTTTTGGCAAATTCTATTCATTTATCAAAAACCTGTGTCCATTAAAAAAAAAAAGTAAAAAAAAAAAAAAAAGTTAAGTTTCTAGGTTAATTTTCACTTCCTTTTTATAATAACATTTCTGAGGGAAATTGGTGTAGCAAAGTTAGCATTCTGCTTTTGATATCTTAGGCAGCCTGCTGCATAGAGTTTCTGGGAAACCTCATTATTCAGTGCATGATTTAAATTATGTATGTACAAGCAAGTCTTCTTTTCCTATTGGCTTTTTCCCTTTAGTTCATCTTCTTGGTCCCCTTTCAGAGAGATGGTTTAGTGGAAATTTCAGGGGTAAGTGTGTGCATACCCTCAATATTTAATTTCAGAACTACAGGTATCCAGCTCCATGAGTCAATTTACTACTGCAAAATATTCTGTGAACCTGCTCCGTAGCAGGGTGGCCTAAACAAATTCTCAGACTATCCTACCTTTTTACTGAAACTTGGCATGAAGAAAGCATCAGAAAATGTTATGTCCCTTTCTTTGCGATCTTGTAGATGTTGGACTATTAAAACTCCGCAGAAATCTACGATTAAACATCGTATCATTTCTGGATGGATATCTATTGGAGTTATACTGTGTTTCACCTGTGTTAGTAACATATCTCAATCACATTTTCAGATTATGCATATTATTACTGATGTAAAAGTGGTCGAGGTCAAAAATTGTACACCTACAAGAGCATCAGTATCAACTGCAGTTTAAGATGGATGGGTGGGTTAGAGCCAGTATCAGTTATTATTTTATCGTTAAGATGTGAAGATGTTTTTTGTCAGTTTTCCTTTTTTTTTCACAGTTTAATATATTGTACTTCAATGACTTTTTGTTCTGCAACTACACCTTATCAGAAATGAAACTAATTTAAAGCAGAAAAATGCAAAAAAGAAGTACTACAGTAAGTTTTTGTGAAATCATACTCATGCATTAACTTGGTCAGCAATTCTTTGCCAGACTGACTCTATTTTGTTTGGGGCAGCAACAATATTGCTATTCTTCTGAAATATGTTGACGTCTATACGCCATTATTCATTTTTTATTCTCCATTGGTGAGAAATATGGACTTTGAGACTTCTTATTTCTTTCCATTGCCATGGAGTTATGTGTCTTCCTTTGAGAGCTCATTTTATTTATCTCACTCACCCTGCTTGACTAAGGGGTGACTTGACTCAGAGTTCAAATAAAAAAGTAAGTACAGTTTCTGTTTGCAGCTGTTATGCATGAAATATGTTTAGGACCTTTTAATGCAACACACCAAACCTTGGTATTTATAACAACTTGGCTCAACTGGTTTTTCAAGGATGTTTTTTTGTTTTCTTTTTCCAGATGTCCCTGCTCCTCTTTCCAAAACACTTCCATTTAATTTATTGTTGACAATTTTTTTCTGGAAATCCACACACTCAGCTTTGTGAAGTGCTGATACAGAATGCAAATAACCTTTGAAGGAGGGTTTTACTAAAAATATGCATAAACATGAGTACATGAAAATATCAAAAGAAATTACAAATAGAGAAGTCTTAATGTTGGCCTTATACATTATGTTATTTGTTATTTTGTTTGTCAAAGAACTTATCTTGTAAAGAGCCATGTGAATAAAGCTTTTCTTACTTACTTGTATGACGTCACCATCAGAATGTGTCAGTAAAAACTGGCATTATTAAAGTAATGATCAAAAGTATGTAACCCTTAGTTATTTTAGGTGGTAATGGAGAAGTTTGCCCTGAAATTGGTGGGTTGCCGGTTCACTTTCAGCTTCATCCACCTCTGTCTTTGGGCAAGACACTTCACACACCTTGGTTGTGAGATGTCAAGATCGCTTCTGTTTATTTAATGACTTGAAGTATAAAAAAGTAACACTGTCCAGAAGACTTTAAGAGCCTCAGTGCATTTTGGAAAATGTGACATGTGGAAACTAAAAAAAAGGCAATTGTCTTTTTTTTATTTGATAAAATCATTTATTTCACTTGAAATATTTAGGTTAACATTTCCCTCAATTCCCATCTTTTTTCAGTGTTAGATTCATCTCTAAATAACACCAGTGAAAATAAGATCAAGCAACAGATGAAAAGAAGATGAGGGAATGACGCATGAGGACAAAAAAACATTGATTTTCCCATAGAGTTAGCTCACTTTTAACTTTATTGAATAGATTATCATGTTTCATTCAGTAAACCCCATCAGATTCTTGTATTTGAGAATGTAGAAAGGTGTTCACATAAAAATGATTTTAAGACAAAGTAATGGCAGAGTTCTTGATGAGTTTGAGAACAAGAGGCTTCATATATCTACTTACACATGGAGTCATATGATAAATAAACAGTTATTTGAGTTAAAAGGCTAACTTCATCCAGGACTGATAAAAAAAAAGCAGCCTGCTGTTCCATGAATGAGAAAGAGTCAAAGGCAACTTCACTCATACATACAGTATCTCTCTGGTGTCAAAGCTGACAACTTCCCAGCACTGATTATATAATAATCCACCTTTTTTAAGGTTATTAGAAATCATACAGTACAAGTTGGCAATCTCAGTGTTAATGCAAGTCACACAACCCCTGCTACAGGTCAATACTACATGCACATCTCTGCAGAAAATCTAAGACTTTTGTTTGTTTTGTTTTGATTTTTTTTTCCAGAGCTGGAATATTTTCTCACGCACAAACAAACAAACCATGTTTGAGTTGATTTTCCTATGTGTGCCTAACTTGACTGGATAGTTTTTGCAGCTGATTTGTTTCCTTGCTCAACCTCCCTCATTTGTGTCCCTGCTCAAAGTGCTATTACCCCAAAAAACGATATCTTACTTCTAGTGAGAGAACTTGATTTTCATCAGAACGTGAACTGCAGAGACATTACACCCAAGGAATATTGCACGCTGCCCAGCAATTCCATTAAATGCATCACCTTGTTTGTGATGGATTTGCAAATTCTGAGTTTTGTATTTTGAAACGAATTACTAAAATAAATCAATTTTACAATGATTTTCTAACTTAAAGTCCCGCTGGTATATCTCAGACAAAATAATTTATTAGATCAACATTTCACGTGTGATGAACTTATTTCATGTGTCCATCAATATTTTGAAGACATCTTCCTATATAAGGTATCTATGAAGAATACATCGATGAATCCACCAACAAGTAAAGGCAATGACAAGGCTCATTGTGTTGCAATGCATTATTTTAGACACAATGTAAAGACCCGACTTTACAGTCCACTGGGCCTGAAGGATCATAGTTTATACCACTGCTAATTAGAGGTGTTTGAGTGGCAAAAGAATATTTTACTTAAAATTAGCCAGGAAGTCACAGCACTTATGACTGGTGAGTAAAAATATGGACTGCAAACAGCATAAAAAAGAAATGAAAATTTTCATTACTTTTGCTGTTTGTAAACAAAATCCTTTGAGCAGCACCCAAAACTCATAAACCTGCCAGAATGTTGACCTTGTTGTGGACAAGGCTCACTGGAGACTGTCCTAAAGCATTCAAACATTTAACGCTAATAAAGTATTGTATTGCAATCTGTATTCAGAGTATTCCCCAAGACTGCATCCTTTGAAAAAGACCTTAATTCACCAATAAACCCAATTTAGTGATCGGATATCTCATCTGCACCTTACACCATCATATGAAAACCCAAATTAATCCTGCTAGATTTATTTTAAAATAAGATTTAAAGAAGAAGAAGTTTGAAATTGTATTTTGTCCATTTGTTATTTTCCAGTTACTAAACCTTTTAAACAGAACCATAAGATTCTCTAGGAAGGTTACGGTTTGTGTTGTTGATATGCTATTTTTCTCAGACATGTAAACTACAGAAAGTAAAATAAAAAATAAATGTGTTTTTCATTCTGAGATTAAAGTTTAAAAGAGCTGATCCTGATCTTGCCCATCTTGTTTAAGCTGATGCTTAATAACAAGCTTGGTTAGATACAAAATGTCCTTAAACTGTACATGCTCATATACACTGTGAGTCATTCTTACCCATCTGACAGGGAGAATTTGGTCCTCTCAGTACAGACGATTACATTAATGGATTTTCTCTTGTAAGTCCCACTAAGATCCTAATCTGGTCCAGAAAAAAATGTTTTTGACCTTTAGTTTCATCCTATTGATATATCTACATAGATATGTGCATAATTGCCGGGGACATCAGTAACATAAAATGGAATTATTATTTTCTAAAATTAAACAAATCTTTTGAAGTTTTCTTAATTGATGAGCTGACATACACCAGTTGTGTGCAAAAAGAGGTGGATAATCAGCAATTAAAGATCAGTCTGTTGGAGTGTACAAATATTAAAAACGGAGCGGAAGAAGCATCACCTCTGTGTGCCTCTTTCAAAAGCCCAAACACGTCTGTATGTTAAAACTCAAAAATGTCATTCTGTTTCTTTGCTAGCTTGGCCACCTCCTGTCTTATAGCCTGCACAAGTGCAGAGGTGGAGAGGCTGCTCAGAGGCATGCTGTCCATGTCCTTCAGCACCTGGGGAAGACTTTGCTCGGATAGTGTGCGAGGGGCAGTGGGCGGCTGCTCCAGTGTCTGGCTATACTGCAGGGGTAGCCTGGTGGGACTCCCCTGTGGGTAACGAGGATTAGGAAAAGCTTCAGCATACCCAGGTAAGGGTGCCTGAAAACAGAGTGCACAGGAAGGGAAAGAAAAACACGATCTTTATAGTAAAGAAGGAGCATATAAGTGTACAAATCAGTGCATGATTATGAATTGAAATCATTTTTGCAGACCTAAATACAAATAAGTATAGATTACAAGTCTTAAAAAGTGATGCAACAAACAGAAGGTGTTTTTTTTTTGTTGTTTTTTTAAGCAAGCCTTTTTGGTGCTCAAACAGGATAAATAGGATTTCTTACAGAATCTGTCCACTGCGGCTGGACATCCTCAGGTTCTGGTGGATAGGACATCCAAGAGGGACTGTGGTAGGACGTAGGGGACGTGGGGACAAAATATTCTGAGTACCCTGGCTTTGCAGCAGGGATGGCGTAGACAGCAGTAATAGGGTTTCCTGTTTTAAAAGAAAAACAGTCAATGATTGTTTTGTATTTTTGTCTAAAATGCTGCTATTACACAAAGACTCAATGCAAACATTTCAAATTCTGAATCACCTTCTCATCTGCTTACCTGAGTAGTTTGGGACCGGCTGTTCTGCAGTGATAGATGGAAGTGCTGCTCGTGTGAATGGCCCATATGGGTTTTTCTCACGTTGACTCCGCATTTCAGCGACAGATGTTTCTGAGCTCCTTCCCTTAGGCCCCAAGTCCGAGGTGGAACTTAGTCAAGATATTAGAGAGGCATAAACAAGACACTGCAGAAAGACACCACTAGATGGCACACACACTCCATGTCAAAAAAATGAACACATCATTAGTATTCTTGTCATCTCTCTATACACAAGTTCATTATAAAAATTTATCCAAGGCCTTAAATCACCCTCACCACAACGAATTTCCTTATAGTCCTTTAATATGAATGTTAATGTGGTTTTCAAAAAAGGAACATCTAAAAGGTTAGCAAAGGAAAGATGGTCATTTGTCTGCTCCAGTGTCTGTTTTTGTGTTATCTGTTTTGCTAATTTTTTACGCCTTCCAATTCTTCCAATTCTTACCAAGTGCCTGTTTAAGAAAAGATTGTTGCGTTTTCCTTTACAAGGTGCCGTACATTGGCTTTTGTGTATTTCGGTGAATAGAATAGAATAGAAGAATAGAATAGCATTTATTGTCATTGAACAGGATTCAACGAAATTTCTATTGCAACTCCCGTGAAAAAAGTCAAAATATACAATATTAAATAAACAAACACACAATAATAATAATATATACAACTAAAATTAACTAAAGGCACTCAACCACACCAAAGAAGAAGCAGCAGGTCCAATTATGGTAAAGTGCAGATGATGTGACAGTGCAAGTGCAGAACAATATGGCTGTGTGGGGGTGGGGGGGAGTATGTGAGGTTATGATATGTGTGGGAGGGGGCGGCAGGGAGTAATGGCTAGGGAGTAAAAGCTTGTGCTCCAATTTTCAGTCGTCTGCTTTAGTATCTTTGTCATTCATGACATTTTCTGAAAGTTTGAAAACGAGCTCCTCCTTTTTTGAAGGGTGTCTTAATTTTTTACCGTCTTAAGGAGGTTCTGTGAGGAGGTCCAGTGCGAGGCGGTAAAGGAGGCGGAGAACCCACGGCCATCTCAGGAAGCTGGGTGAAGCGAAAGGCCTTAAACAACAGGAAGAATTTTTGATTAAAAGACTTGTTTTTGGATTGGGTCACTTGAAAAGATGAAATAGTTTTTCCAACTCACAGGTTTAGGCAGGCTGCACTGATAAATATCTGCTCCATAAGATGGCACCCAGTGGAGTCCGCCCCGCCCCGAGCTCATAGTGCCTGGAACGCTGCTGACCACGTCGGCGTATGGGAGAGGAGGCGCAGGGCTGTATTGGTCAGGAGGGGGCTGCTGGTGGTGGCCATGCCTTCCAGACGTGGACTGGCCTCCAGAAGCCAGGCTGAACGCCTCTTCCAGCAACAGGTGCATCTGCTGTCGCACTTCATCAATGGATGGCTGTGAGCTCAGAGTGGATGTCTCTGAATGGCCTTTAAGGCCACGACCATACATGTACCGTCGTGGCCCCAGAAGATGATCAACATTTGTCTCCTCGATCAGCTCCGGCTCAGTCTGTGAAATTTATACACATGATATATTTAATAGATTAGAGTGACTCTTCAAAACTATAACTGAAGACAAAAAGAAAACAGTAAATGTGACAAAAAAAATCCAGAGAAAGATGGTGCCACAACAAAGTTTCAATGACGGCACATTATTCGTCTGGCCCTTTTCAGTGTTTGTTTTGGGTAAAACCATAAAAATTTTCTAGAAAAAGGTCCAGCCTGGTTTCATCAGACCACATTACATTCGACTACAAGATTTTAGATTTTCTTTTTTTTTTTTTATTGTCAGATCTGGATGTTTTAATTATTGTATCCCTACTTCTTAGTGTGGGCACAATAAAGTAGAAGGAGATTGGTGTAAAATATTTCCAGTGCTGAGAAGAAATTCCTGTAGACCCTTAAGAATTGATGTTCCCCAAACCTTCATTGTGCTGTGTTGGATTTACAGCATAAAGCATCAATTCTCCTGATTGATGCTTTGTACAATGAGTTTATTTTATATTCCTTTGAAATTTCTTTGCTGTTATCAGGACTTGAACCTAAGTTCTAATTCAGGTGATTTATTATCACTGGTGACAAAGAGAAGACTGAATACCTCACATTTATTTTTATTTTTATTTTTTTTTTCATTTTTTGCAGGGAGAAGAGTATTTTTTTCTTTTTTAAAGGGCGTTTAAATTAAGGATTATTAAAGACTGTGGTTACCTACAATGTGTTTTTCTGCAGATTTGTTTTTCATTTGACGTGTACAAAGTAAATGCAACATTGTAAATACAAATATTTTTTGAAAAGATTGATCAGGGTCATATTTTCATGGGTTGTGTATACTTTTGAGAGCAGTACTTATTATCCTAATCATTTTTATCTTTTAACATACTTTTTGTCACTATGTCCACCTATTCAGTAGTCCAGCACAGTGACTAATTTATAGAATTTGAGGCTGCTCTACTTCCTGTGCAAAAAGAGGGCAGCCACAGTAGAGCCAGCACAGAGCACCTCATAAATCAGCCCTCCAGAAAAAGGGAAAAGGCTTAAATCTGCAGCCAGACCAGTCCCTTTGTATTCAACAAGGCCAGGACTCATGAAAAAACAGTGCAAACCAACACATGGTCATAGAAGTATAATGTGAGATTTCTGATGCTTTTTTATGTAGGCCAAAAAGAGCCAAAGCACCACCAGTGTGCACAAATGCTCCATTTAACTATGCCTGTACTTTTCCAAGGAAATAGAAATTTTGAAAAATGTTTTGAATTTCTTTGACGCTAAAAATATTCTGACTTCAAGATCATAAAAGCATATTAGATGAATAGCAAAACAGTTATACATCACCCAGCAATGCTTTATAAATCTTTACATTTAATTATATTTTTTTCTGCTCACAGTTTGCAGAACACTTCAAACAGAACAGGTCTAATGTGTAGCTTTGTACACCGAGTCTCACAGCAAGGAGAGAGGGATTCATAAAGTCCTCATAATCCTGATAATCAAGGTTCCCATTTGATTGCAAATACTACAGTTGTGGAGCCTACATTTTTAGCATTGCTCAGATAATTGATCTGTGAAATTTGGTCACATTTTAAAAAAGAAAAAAAAAAAGGGGGAACTTATATTTCTACAATAAGAGTCTGCATTTCCTAAAGGTCTTAGTATTTGCCAAAGTTAGAATATAATTAAACACCTCTCACATTTTTATGCCAATATCTTTAACAACGTGAATGTACACACAATCTCTTCTGGACAAGTGTTGTTGTCCAGGAGGTTTTGGGAAGTTTGGAACTGTTAGCCCTAATGACAGGAACTGTGCATTTTCTCCCCTATAGTTAACTCTCACAGTGCCCATTGAATCAACATATTTCTTTAATGTGACATTTTTTTATCACCAGCAGAGTGCTCCTTTAAGCTATAGCTCTGAAAAAAAGAGATGCCTTTCAGTTGCTAATTGGCTAATTAGGTTTGGTCGAAACGGTTGGTGGGTGTTGACATGGGACTCACATCGTAGCCACTGTTGCGAATGCCTCTTCTGGGCCTCTCTCTCATTACAAGGAGGTCCATCTCAGTTCCTCCGGGACTTGGACTGCTTAGGCTTTGTCTGCTGCGATAGGCCATCTGTCCGACCTGGGAATGCCTGCCAATTAGAGTAAACCGAGTGAGTGCAACACAAATCAAACCTGCTGCAAAGCAATTCTTCACTCAAAGTGTTCGAATTTTTCGGTCAGTCTTGCATGTGCCTTTAGCAGAAGAAGCAGAAGATAAACCCCGTTGGTTTACTGCTTGAGGCATGATGAACAAGGTAAGGAAAATAATTGGACTCCTGTTTGAAAGGTGTGGTGCTGACAAAACAGGTGTTAAATTTGAAGAGGACAAATATAAAAATAAAAATGTTGGTCACACATTAGTGAACACACATTAGTGAACAACTGCAAGATTTTAACATTTTAATATTCTTTTGATCTCTTAATATAGTCTGTGTGTGTCATTACACATCGTAAAACACCGGACAAGGGAAAATATTAACAGATGCCATGACATGTCATTGGAGGTGGGCAGATCAATCCAAAATATCAGTAATCAGTATCAGTATCACATTGATACTAGTGTGGTAAGCAACACTGGTTTTTATTTGTAAAAAAATAATAATAAAAAAAAATGTGGCAACAATGTATGATTTTCATTCCAACTCACAATTGTGTAGCACTTTGTGTTGTGTTCTAAAATTCCAATAAAACAATCTTAAAGTTTCTGGCTATATTTTGATAACTCATTTGAAAATGAGTGCTGGGAAGTGTCGATGTACTTTTTTCATTATTTGAAAGCAACTAGAGATTGTGACCATAAAACCCTTGAACTGAATCTTGTTGGCCGAGTTCATCAGCTCCCAGAACCAGATTTGCACAAGCACTGAATGGCCCATGCCATAGAAAGGGTAGTAATTTTCTTTTCCAAGTCCAAAAAGTCCATTAAGGTTTGTTGGGAAAAATGTAATATCTGGTAGATTTAAAAAAACAAACAAACAACTAAATAGTTACAATGTTTTATAACCATATTTCCCTTTATATTTTTCAGAGGAGGGAACAGAAGGAATCCACTGAAGCAGCAAATTACAAATCAGTCACTGTGTGGTAGAATGATGAAACAGATGCCAAAGTGATGAAGATGGATCTATGGTGGAGTGAAATTTATATCATTATTGACACAAATTGAACTGTGTGATAACTCAAAACAGAAGGTCTGGAAGCATCCAAGCCTTTGGTATTCTCTCCATGATACCTTTAAAACAGCTAAGATAATTTTGTGCAAGACGAGCTCAGGGTACCGTCAAGACAAAAAGGAATACAAATATGATTAGAGATATGTTCCTGAGTGTAAACCCTAACAACCATAACCATATTTCTGGGAAAATAACATGGCCTCAGGAAACGTCCCAGTCTGGACCTGAAGGATTTTGTATTCTCAGATAGATAAAACTGGAAATCCAATACAAATCCTAGTGAATCTGGTTGAATTTATTTCTGCTAAGAAGAGTGGGAAAACGTCCATTCAAAGGTGACATGTAATTGCAAGATCAGTTTTTTGGGTGAAATACATGCCACAATATTCTTGAAACCTGTTATGTCCCGGGTGAAGAACTGTGCGTCGGTGAATGTGACAGTCTGATATAAAGAGCTGAAACTTTCTGACAGCAACGGAATGCAAGCAATGTCAAAACATACTACCAGATTTTACAAAAATCTGCCAGCAAAAAGTCTCTGTGTTAATATATATTAGTAGATATCGACTCTATCTAGTCTGCTCTTACCTTCTGTGAGACTTGACGTATGTGGACCCTCGTTCATCATCTGGCTCCAGAGGTCTGCCATGCTCACCGACTTCCCTGTCATAGTCGCTCCGTTGTTTATGCACCAGGGCTCGACCTCCACCGCTGCTGCTGCCATTGGTGGACGGGAAATCATAATACCCTTTCTTCTTAGCTTTCAGCCTCAGCTTATTTCTGTAGTGCTCAATGTCTGACTTCTGCTTCAACGCCAAGCTAACCTGAAGAGTGGGCAAACCAACAAATGCAACTGAACACAAGATGAAATCAAAACTTAAAAATGAGAAGAGTATTTAGCTTGCTTTCTCTACTGCGGTACATATTGAGGGGTAAATATGATATAAATTTAGGATCAGCCATGAAAGAAGTGTTTTTATTTTCTTGTTAAGCATAGGACATTATGGCGCGGCGATACTATTTAATACTCTTTTCAGGGAGACAATTAAGCTTCTGCATTTGTTTCGACATATAGCAATTGTATTAGGCAGCTACCACAATGCAAACACAACAAATAAAGTCAAGTGACTTTAAGTCTGTCTTCCACAATGACAAAACAAGAAAATGCATAAAGAGTGAACATCTTTGCGGCCACTCCTGGTGAATTGTTATTCAAATATTTACTGTGATAAAGAAATCTTATATTCTAACAGAGTGGAGAAAGGTAAATTATCTTCTATATCTGCCATGAGAGAAATAGTTGGCGAGAGCAAACACAAGTTCATGGCAGGGTGAGGAGGGTTTTTCATAAGGCTTAAGTAATAAAAGAAGAAATTAAATTTAAAGTCTGAAAGTGGCATAAAACAGCTGATTCAGAGAATCCAAAACAACCAGAGATGGAGATATTTTAAAGTGATGGTGCTTCAGGAGTTCCAGAGACATGGAAATTCTCTGTGGGATAATCTGATTAAATAAGCAGCTATAACATAATTTCTAAACTGTATATAGGTTTGGTTCAAAATAAGCAATTTTCACAAAGTAAAATCCATAACAGTGTTGAGCAATGGATATTACCACAAAGGTTTGTCAAAGTAAAGAAAGAAGTGGAATAACTGGAGGAAAGATTCAAATATGTCCTTTACACATCCAGGTAGAGGTCATAATACTACCACTGTGGAAGGCTGTCAGCATGATGTTAATTTTCTAAGATGCAGTGTTGAGTTTTAACAGATGGTCAAAATTTTTCCAGTGTCTTGCATCAGTCCGCAAAATAGTTTTTGGCAAATTGGAAATAAGCCTTAATGTTCCTTTTGGACATCATTGCTATTTTTCCCAGTCTCTTTTTTCAGTTTTAGAAAGTTTTCCTTAATGGAGGCAAGAGAGTTAAGCAGTTCTTAAGACGTTATTCTGTTTTTATATGACTTCTTTGATTAGTTATCATTGGAGAATTGGTCATCTCATGGGAAGTTTTGCCACTTTTCCACATTGTCTGTGGAGTAAAATCACTGTATCCCCAAGTGACGTTCCTGGCCAATAAAAACCAACATCTCTCTAAGTGCAGATGTGGGCGTAAATCACCTCTCCGTTGACGATGGCTGACTCCTGGCTGCGGTCGGAAGATGCAGGGTGGGAGCAATTTGTCTGCGCAGTTACAGGCTTTATGGAAATTAGCTGCAGGGAGCCAGAAGATGTGTCGTACGGATCTGAAGACAAGAGCAGAAGTTTACAAACAAAGAGACAGCAAATACCAATAATCATCACCGTATCAATCAATGGGGGAAGAGTTGTCATCCTGCCTGTCTTCCCTTACTTTCATCCCCCCAGAAAAGAAGAATGTGAACCAACAGTTTCTGAATTGTATCACACAAAAGTCATCTGTCTCAGTAAATGAAGTTGTAGATAGCAACGATAGATCACAAGGACAGCTTTGGCTTCCAGTGTTGTGGTAATGCATCTGTGTGATAAATGAAAGAAACTGACTCTGCACTTTTGTCCGTTATCCAGCGTCAGAAAAAAACTGGACTCAGTTCCAGTTCCACCGAACTCAGCTGTTGAATTATTCAAATCTAGCCGTTAGGAAAATCAGAATCTGACAAATTTGATCAAATTTACAAGCAGAGAGACGGAACTGGAGGAATTTCACTCATGTCTACCGCATCTGGACCGAACAAGACATTTTTCAAAGTAGAACAAAATCTAATGGAACACGAGTTATGAGATTTCACAAGGTATTTCTGGACTTGTAAGAGTTGAGTATTAGAGGGTGTATCTAATCTTGGTTCGTCACAGTACCCAGCAGTCAAACACACCATACCGTCTCAGCAAAGTGTCTGTCTGCCTCATGCATATTCATTTGGTCCTTCTCCACCTACTGCTGGGGGCCGGGGGGTGGTTACCTTTCTGACAACAAGAATCCTGCAGTGCCACTGCATTCCGTTCAACTGACCCGTTGTGTGATGGAAAACCCCTAGACAGTGCAAACATCTTTATCCAAAAAAGGGAGAAATCTATTTTTGTTTTGCTTTTGGAAGCTCTTGACCTTGCCGGCAAAGAAGCGGCAAAATGACTCATTTTTATTTGCATCTACGTGCGACTCCCACCGTCCCTCCTGCGGGCCTCCTCCTTTGTCGATTTCTGCTGCGCTGTGACTTTCGGCACCGTCAGACCCCTCTTAGAATTCAGCTTCTCTGATTCGTTGCTGATGACGGAGCCGTCTTCACTTGGCAACTTGCTGCAAGTAACCATAGCAACAGGAAAGGCGGTAAATTCCCAGGAAGCTGGGCAGGCAGCCATGTTATGTCATCCCTTCCTTTTTACAACCTCACCTTTTCCCTCCTGTCCACTGAAACTCCTTTCCATTATCTATAATGTGTTTAACTAAATTAAATAAACTGCAAAACTATTATCCATGTTTGAAGAATACTTCTTGGTCAAGCTGTCTTACTGGATTTAACCTAAATAGCATCAAAGAGAAAACATCTCTTATCAGTGATTTTGAAAAGTGGGACAAAATGAGTTTAAATGGTTCCCTTTTTTTAAAAAAATTATTTCTCAACCTTATGTACTCAAATATGACAAATGATGGCTTGGAAATGTAAACATGCTAAGGTGCAGGCTCACAGTAGAAACATTTATTTTTTAATACATTTTTAATGGACCTGACCTAGAACTTTGTCATCAGCATCTGACAAAAATAAATATACTTTTTTAATGATCTTATTAGTGATATTTTACTCAGTTTTGCAAACAAATGCTTCTCAAGAAACAAAGGAAATATTATTTAAAACAAAAAAAACAAAGTTTCTTCTTACTAGTGAGTTAAAAAAAAATTGACATGTGAAGTAATGCCATTGATGTAAAATACATTAAAATTAATTTACTCTTTAATTAATTAACTTTGTCTAATAGAGGTGTGTAGTTCACTTTCACTGAATGAAAATTGTGATTGGAAGACAAATGACGTGCAGGATTTTGTATCCACCAAGTATGAATGCGTGGATATTTTTTACTCGTTTGTTTGTTAAATATTGCAGCTGAAACTTGGCGTAATTTTAAATAAAACTGAAACAGGAAATTAAGAAACGTCAAAGTATCATCTGAGCAGCCTGGTGTCGACAGCTGCTGCTTGAGAAAAATAAAATTGATCAATTTGATTTAAAAAAAAAATCAACCATAATACATACTAAACAATAAATAAACAAACAATGGACTTTGAGTGCTCTTATGTATTACTAATATTAAACAGAGGCGCCCCCTGCTGGGGCGCAATAAGCAGCTGTATACATTTGCAATTTTTTCCCAGTGGCAAAACTTATTTCTCTATTAATCTGTTTTTTATTAATTAATTTATTCATTCATTCTTAATATCTGCCTCTCATTACTAGCCTCTTCCATCAACAAAACCAGAGTCACTAATTTAGGTCAAAAATTAGGTGTGTTGAAAACAAATGCTATTTATATCTGTTCATAACGTTTTAGTACTGCTATGTTCTCTGGCTAGTATTTTAGGTTGCAAAATACATATTTGTTTCAAGATATTTTTAACTGCACGGTGTTGAAAACACCAGTTGCTTTGTCCATGCTCTCAAAATCAAAATGATATTTCCGACTGGACTGAGGTATTCCTTCATCTTCATTTTTAAAAAATATTTTTAGGCTCTAGTGTCCTCTTTTGAGCAGTGAGGAAAAAGGGAGAAGAAAGACATGCAGCAAATAGCCTGAAACAGGGAATCAAACCCGAGATAACCAAGTAGAGAAAAATAGCCTCTGCAAATTGTGCGAGTGCTCTAACGTCTGAACCGCCCAGCAACCCCGCTTCTTCGTTTTTTCAGGAAGACTAAACCAAAGCTATTGATATATTAAACACTATGGCTTTGACAAAGTTTTGAAAAATAATAGGGTAGCATAGATCACAGTTTGCGAGAGGAACAGTGGGAGTATCTTACCTTTTGTGTTTGTCAGCAGTGTGACTTTTTTTGTTGGCTATCCCATCTTGTCGCAGTGCCTTTTCTAGCGACAGTGATGTGTCCCGAATTTGTAGGGACATCACTAAAGTATCCTGACTGACAGGCAGCGTCTCCTCATCTCCTCCCTGCTGGCCCAGGTGCTGCTTGGCATAGTCAAATCCCTGGACTGGCTGACGGACGTGTTAGGTAGGAATAAAGAGTGGCAGAAGAGAGTTTTTATAAGCAATTTCTTCCCTTCTGCCCAGAAATGCAATTCAGTATAAAAATGCAAAGCTATGTATGACTCCGTCACAAGATTCGCACAGACAAGCATCTCAGCATAGTTGCCGAGCACATCCTTAAAAGTTAGGGGGATTTAAAAAGCGGAACTGGGATTACTGCACGTCATGCCTTTGAATAGATAAGCACAGATTTAACTGTGACGCTTTGTGTTCTTCATGTACTTCCTCTCTCTGGTTAAATAAATACCAAACAGCAGCAGTCAACAAGATGAGATACACCGGTCTTTGTGGAAATCCAGAGATTAAGCTCAGCAGAATTCAAGATAAGATAAAGATGCATAACCAAGTTTGTGTAAAATGTGATATCAGTACACTTAGAAACAGAAGACCACTCACACAAATATATGCTGAAAAATGTACGCCTGCTGTCATCTCAGAGTCATAAATCGTCTGACTCACATCACACCCAGAGAGCAGCCGGGGCCAAACTGCAAAATCAATGTGTTATACTCCCAAAGAACGTATATCTTCTTTAGCACACACTCACACCCACACTCAGAGTTTTATTGAAAGTGCTGCTGTTGCTAGTCTTTAAGAGGAAGCACTAACAAGTAAGTATGATGAAAGGGTTCGGTTTGCACATTCCAAATTGTGGAGGGCTTGATGTGAGGGTCTTTTTCAAATTTTAGGAGTCACTATCTTTGAGCATTTCAAGAGCTTCCCTTCGCTTTCATATTCCTTAGTAGCACATATTCACAGTGTGCTCTGAAAATGAAACATGTTAAATGTCATTGCAGACCACACGTGATATTTTATGAAAATGATTTTAGCGCTTTCTGTTTCATAATGAGATACCAGGATCTTCCTCTGTGCATGATAACTGAGTACCTCTCTGGTTTAATGCATAAGATTTTTCTGCACTCTTTCCTATGAATGAGTCAACAGAGAAAGCGATGGGGTCTGCTGTTAGTTACACTCTGCATTTTAATTTGTCTGCTCCAATATATGCAAACACCAAAACAAGACCAACAAGCGTATCATCTCAATGTGAAAGCACTTGGCCTTAGTTGACTATAAGTATTTGCATGTACCCAGGCAGAAATGATCTTTCTGCTTAAAACATTCTGCATAACACCGCTGCTCTATAAGGCCTAACCTTTTAAAACCTGCTATCTAGAGACAGCTACAAGAAGAAGAAAGGACAATATTAGCCCTGCTTCCCAGAAAATTGCTTTTTGAAAGCTGTGTTACTCTGAAGTGCTTTTATATCCTTGGTTTTCGTCAGCACAGCTGGATTTGCTGATCTATATTAGCAGAGCTCTCTGAACAGAATCCCATTCAAATCCCACGGCAGGCTCAGCTGAGCCTTGGAAATAAAAACACAGATTACTAATGAGAAGAATTACAGAGTAATAGATACCTGGTGATAATAGCTCACATCCCTCCGATACGCCATCTGAAAACACAAAAGAAGCTGTTTAAAAGGTGCAAGTGAGATCTAAGTTTGGCTTCCAGATTACCTGCAATTTTCCCAAAAAAGATTGAAAGAATTGAAATAATTTAGGTGATGTGCTACAAAAAAAAAAAAGAATTCAAGGCAGTGATCTCTGTATTATAGACTCTTCATTTGGTTTGGGTTATTTGATTCAAATCAATCATATTAACTGTCATGTCCAACACCGGGAACAAATTAAAAAATAAAAAATGATAGGAGCAAGTACAAGGAATCCAACCACAATTTGGAGGAGAGCGATGACGTTACATTTGGAATGGCAGACCAGTGCATTAACACACTGCACAGTATCCAACAATGTCAAAAAAACTGACAGGAATGGGTACAATTTACGCTCATGAAGTCAATATTTAAATGATGATTCATCAACTGAGGTGAAGAAAGTCAAGAGAAATGTTGTGTAAGAGCAGCTGCTTGGAAACTTAACAAACCGAGGGATTTGTTAACATTCTGTGGTGAGTCCAGTGTAATCACGGTTCACCACAGCAGTGAATGTGACAATATCTGCAATTCGAAAATATAACCAATGTTGTCTCTCTGATGTGGTTGGCTGTCATCCAGCACTGTCATTTCTGCCAATAACTGTGCTGTTGGAATAGCCTAAATTACACTGATGGGTCAAGGAGCGATTATTACTCACACTGAAAGTTTGAGTAATAAAAAGTCACTTCAAATGAATGTTACACACGTTATGGATGGAGGGTAAACTGGTCAGACAACATCTGACGTCAAAAATGATCTCATCACTTGGCTCAGACACACAGGAGAAAAACTCACTACTGCAGATATTTATTGTTGCTAAACAATAAATATCCAGAGGAGGTTTGGAGAAATCATTTAGAGATACATTTATTAATATGACCCATGAACAGTAGATGTTTTACATGGACACACAAAGTACAAAAAAAACAATAAAAGAGCATACTTTCTTAGCTGATTAACTTTATACTAACAAACAACAAATAATTATAATATTTAGTAAGCATGGAAATTGATAGAACTAGCTACATAATTAAAGGCAAAGGACTGATAGAGGGAAACTTACCTTGGCTCTGGGATTGAGGTTACCAATGGCGTCAGCTTTAAAGTCGTTCTTGTTCTTTTTGCACAGCACAGCTGTGATGATGATAATGATGAGTGTTACCACAGAGATCGGGGCCAAAACTGCAGCAATAATCCACAGGTTATTTGGAGGGTTCTTGACCACAGCTGAAAAAGCAGAAAGACGTTTTACCGTTTCTTATTTAAGTAGACTATAAGACTGTGACAGAAACATTTGGTCCACAAGTGAGTTACTGTAATTTCCGGACTAGTGTGTGCACCTTCATGTCAGCCTCACTCAATAACTTTAAAAAAAAAATGTAAAAAAAAAACTTAAGCACAAATATGTACTAAATGTTTTTCTGAACATGGCTGCTTAAGACAAAATAAAATATAGTAGCCTACCAGGAACAGTCACTGATTGCTATCTTCATCTTCCTCCTGTGCACAAAAACTACTAAAGTCGCCTTCTTCAGTGTTGGAATCGAACAACCTCGGAATGACTTTGTCACACACTTCCTCAGTCTCTCTTTCATTTTCGCTCTCAATGTCTCCTTCTTTTTTAGTTAACTATTCATATATTGGCCGCATCATTGCTGCCATAGTGTCCAAAATGTGTGAAAAAAGTACTGGCTTATAGTCCGGAAATTACGGTAGTGGCAAAGATTATATAAGGATAGAGACTTTAAAGCAAAAACAAAAGACGACATTCTAAAACATACAGAATTACGGGTTAGCCCTCGCCAAGTGACATCGTTCAGCTCAATCTGATATACAGAGGCCCTGACTCAGCTATTGTAGACTATAATCTATGAGAAAACCCTGTGTGTGTGCACCCCTTTCTCCACTTCTCTTTCCCTCTTAGCATTGAGCAGATCTGCAGCCGTAAACAAACACTGTCCCACTGGGAGCATTTCAAGGAGATTACAGAGCAACCCTTTTTTCTGGGCCCTTCACTCCAGCGCAGGCTCTTCTTTCCAAACCGAGGGTGAATCACATGTTTTCATTTACCTTACTGTGAAGGGTTTGTTAAAAAGTTCTATGGTCAAACGTGGAAGAAAGGAAATGTGCTTACGTTCTGCTTGCACCTGGACAAAGTATCCCAGAGTGAGTGCCATGGTCTGAGAGTCCACTGTGTTCAGGACCTTGGCAGCTGACGTGCCAGACAGAGGGATGCCATTATGCTGAACGTAGTAGGTCATCTCTGCTGGATTCTTCAACCCGGACACTCTGCGGATGCTCACCATCTGGTTGAAGACAACATGTCTTACGCCATAGTCATCGAAAATGATGCAGTAGGTCATGCAGTTAATTACATGTTTGTGCAATTCTGCTTAAGCGACTAAACTGAAATCTTAAGAGCAGTTGTTTAGTGAAAGGTCTCTGGCTTGTTTTGATGGGCAATTACTAAATGATGAGCTGAGAAGCTCCCTAATTATGAGGCACTGACCACAAGTACTCATCTCGAGTGTTATGAAAGTGTTTATCAAAGCATACGTCTTATGAAATATTCATAGCATTCGAAAGAAGCCAACATAAACAATTTCATTTCTCTGACTTGTCATAAACATGCAAGGGCAGTCTGATGAAATATCAGAGAAGACAAAATAAGCTGACGCCTGCCGTTTTAGTACCTGGACGGTGAAGCTGCCCACAGTTGTGGCTCGTCTAAAGCGAGTGCCCTGCTGCCCTGCCAACACAAACAAGTCCGCCAACCGCTGCTCCATTAGACTGGCAAAGCTTTGGTACTGTCCCTCCAGGCTGGCATTATCAACATCCTGGATCACTGCAAGTTCAGGCATAAGGCAGAGAGAGGAGAGATGGTTGTTAAGACAGATAGTAAACTGTTCTTGAGGGCAAATAGTTAAAAAAGAACAAGAAAAGGGTAAGAAATGTGCATGCGTGCGTCTGGTTTATACAGCCTAAAATCTGTAGAAAAAATTTAAAGGGAAACAGCAAAATAAGTTGTGTGTTTTCATCTTTGGGGAAAATAACTGATACAATTTACAATGTTCAAGCAGTGCTGCAAAAATGGTTTGAATTAGGATATGTGGATGCTTCATGAACTCCAGCATCACAGAAGACAACAGCAAAACCCAAATGTGTGTTCAGCTGAGAAACAGGACCTTTAGCTTCAAAGACCCCTTAAACCTGACCTAGAGAAACCAAAACACTGACTATAAAGCGTGCTCTTTTTGGAATATTGGCAGTTCATCACATAAAAGTTTATTAGATATGCCTCATTACTAGGATAGGTTTGGGCCTAATTTTGCCTAATTCCTCAATTCCCCATTCTAATATTCGGTTTAACTTAACAAGTCGTCTTACCCATGTTTAGGTTCGTAAATGCACTGACTTATGACATGTGATTTATGCTATTAATTATAGAGATTTACAGTTATTTTGGCATGAAATGATTCTCATTATCATCATCAAAATCATTTACCAAATTCAACCAAGGAGTTAAAATCTAAGCAACAATATAGAGCTTTCATTTATCTGAAAGAAGAAATTTGGAGCTTTATCTCCAAAGACTTAGGATATGTGGATCAGATGCCATATTCTCCCAGACTATCATGTTGTGGCAACAACAACAACAAAAAATAAATCCAAATTAATGTATAAAATTGGCATAATATTATATGTTTGAATTTTAAGCAAACATGTATGTTGAAAAACCAAATTGTGTTCAAATCCAATACTTCAATACTCAAAGGTCTGTTAAAATGTATGAATTTGATGTGATCTAACAGTTAAAAAAAACAAGCTAGCACAGAAAAATAAAGTGTTTTTTTGTTGTTGTTTTTTTTTTAACCTTTGTTACTAATGTTAAAGAAAAGAAAGAAACCTCCACACAGATCCTCCACTTTATCGAAAACTGAAAAAGCATTTCTGTTGGTTGTATGTCTTGTTGAGTGGGAGTAAATCTCATTACGGAGGTGCTGACCTTGTATTGACTCAGCCTAATATTGCAGCATGTGCAGGTTAAGACCCACAAAATCTGATCTCAGAGACTTATACCTGAAGCCAGTGTAGAAATATGGAGTCAAACGTTGAGCTTTATTATTTGATAAAATTATTGTGGATCAATAGAAGATACAATAGAGAATTAGACACCACTCTCCCAAAAGAGAATCTTTAAATTAAATTAAAATATTTAACGTAATCAAATAAAAATTAATTAATTTTACATTTGTCAAAATTAACTTAAATATCCTGTATGCTACATCCTGTAATTAGAAAAATCCAAAATATTCATATCACTTCCAGAAAGATACATTGTTAAATTTAAAAGAATTTAAAAATTAAAAAAAAATACAATTTTCAACCTGTATGTGCCAAATGTATGTATAATTTTGTTTTAACTCCAAGTTTAAATTATGCTTTAATTCTATCATATAATTACTAGAACATTACTTCAATAATGGATGCATGCCTGATAAATGGATTTTGAGACACTTCAGTTTCAGAAGATTATTTTTTTCTTTACCCAATTAGAGCAGTGACATGCTTACCTGTGACTACCCAGAAGTCTCTGGTTTCAACAGACGTGTTCAGATTGTGGTATTCAAGTGCTGCAAAGACAAAAGAAACGTTAGCATAACATCCTCTTTTCAAGCTTCAATCTTGTGCACTTTGACTTTATAAAGCTTTTCTTATGCCAACTGATGCTGATGATTTGAGGGATTAAAAGGAAACATTTAGAATAATGTCAATTTCTTTGACTACCCTGTCTCTGAGATGAAATGGCTGAGACATATTTTGTATTTGAGAAAGAGTCTTGTCAACATTTCCAGAAACGTCACAAGGGTAGGCAAAAGTTAACACTTTTCCCCATTTTTTTTTTCTTGTCTGTGGTTGAGATATCTGTTCAAAGCCTCGTTATCTCTGAATGTCAGACAAATAGATAAGCGATGATGTGCTTAAAGTCATATGAGTTCTGGTTGTCTCTGTATTCTCTTACACGGATTTCCTGCCTGATTAAGCTCCTGTGCCGGTGGGGCTTGGCACAGTGTTGTTTGGGGGGAATGCTGCATCAGTGGCCTCTTAAAGCAGACTTGCATAAGTGCACACTCAGGCGTGTCAGTGGGAGATGGGCAGGGAGCGAACGGGTGAGAAGAAGAGCAATGGCAATAGATAGGTCGGAAAAACTGTCAGCAAAATGTGCTCTAGACAAGCTTAGTTGGATAATCACAGACAAGGTTTCAAATCAAACTGTTTACAGTGAGTGACGGCGGAATAAACCATTTAAAAAAAGAGAAAATATATATATTTATATATTGATCCATAAAACAATTCCTAGAACAATAATTCATTTTCCACCTATAATTGCTTTTTAATTGCAGACAAAAATTTCCCTGCAGCTTTACTCATGTTTTTGAGAGAAACAGATTAAGAGTGACGAGGGAGTGAAAGAGCTGAACCATGCAGTCCAGCTTACACAAGACTCACACAGCAACACAGAGCTGCAGGCATGCACTTTCGAGTGCATGTGAGATCCCAGGTCTGTTCTGTCGGACCAGAGCTCCGGGTGGTGGAAAATCACCCACTGTTTATTATTTGCTGCAATAGTTGCCTTTGAAATGAGGGAGCAATGTCTGCCAGAATATGTTTGTGCCAAGGTAAAGCAAAAACAAGCACAATAAATGACAACTATCTAAAGTATCTGTGGTATTTTATTTGTGTTTGAGTTTCTTTCTATGTCAGTTCCTGCATCTTTTTCAGGAGAGTTTGTCTTCATCTCTTTGCTTGGAAAACAAAATGGATGTGTAGCTAACCAAATTTAATTTCACCAACGCAGACACCCAATTTATCTTCACTAAACCAGAAAATAAACAAAAAATTAATTAAGATCATAAGAAAAATTATTTCCAGATTGAATTTTGGCGACAGATCCTAACCTTCTGTTCTTCTCAGACTGGAAAACAAAACCTCCATATGTTTTTAAATAAATATATATCTTCTTGCCTTGTCTGCCTCTAATAATCCACCACAGGTTCCACACACTCATCTCATAAAGTCAGGGAAAACTTATGCAACCACATTTTATTAAGCCGGCTGAGCTGCTTATCCACCATCTGCAAATATAAATCACATATCTACTGTGCTGAAAAATATGCAACCAAGACATTAAATGACAGGTGATAAACTCCAGATTACTTTTAGTAAGACACTGTAGAGATTTATAGCAATCGAGTATAAATGTTTCTGCCAAGGACAGAAACACCGACACAAGAAATAACATGCTTTCAGATGAACACATTTTATCTAAAGTAACATCACTGATTAAAAATAAACTTGCTTCTCAACCCTGACAAATGTTGTCCATTCACTGTGGACTGTGAAGATTATAAATATATAAGTTTTATGATCTTGTACATTTTTAATTTTAATGAAAGCTTGTTATCTCCAAATCATTCAAGTGGATCCATCATTCAACAAGCTTTTATAATCTACAGCATAATGTTTCCAACACAAAGCCTCTAGTTCTCTGTTACTCAAAATGATGGTAAATGTGACCTTTAATCACTACATTTTATCAGTTTTATTTGTGGTTTGGGAAAGAACAACTACAACTTGATGTAAATAAATAAGAGCTGGATGTGATGGGCATGCTTCCATCTGCATGTATTAAAAGCATCCGGTAATCAGTTTTTCTTGTTTGGTTTTGGCGCAGTCACAAAGTCTCAGAGACATTGTTTTTATAGATTTTCTGCCTGGAAGCAGACTCAAATATGAAAAGACAACATTAGCTTGTCTTTAAGCCAGTATCTGAGGTTTGTTGCATCATGAAGGATGTGAAGTGGTAAAGTATTCAGCCATTAAAAACAATCACTTTGCACAACATTTTCCCTTTCAGCTGTGCAACAAATAACTGCAGCATTTGTGATTTTTTCCTGTTAGATGTTGTCAAAAGTTTGTTTCAACTGGACTTAAATGGGAAGTTCCACATATTTACCAATCTGCTCAGGGAAAGTCTCAGTTTTAAAGACACTATCTCAGGGCATTTTTTTCAAAATATCACATCTGTCACAGGAATGTGACAGACACATTGCTCCAAGTGCTGTCTGTTGCCAGAGGCAGAGAAAAATGCTCTCAAGGCTGTGATCAGCCCCAAGGTATAACAGAAAAGCGAGTCTCGGTTGTGACTCATGCTGCTCAAATGTCTCAAGCATCAAGTCCTTCGTTATTTTGAGTGTTATTCTACACATAGCAAAAGCCCAGTTTTATCAAGCAAAAGCTGGGGAAATACAGGCAGCATTGAGGAAAACAGTGCATCTTTCTCAAAGAGACAATTAAAAATGTGTAGCTCAATCACTTGTAGTGACCTACATTGTACCTTTACAACTGTCTCAGGCTCAGACCCTGAAATTAACTCAGTTAAAGTTTTAATTGAACCCCACTACATTTGTTTTTTGTTTTGTTTTGTTTTTTTTTTTTGCAAGAAATGCACCTGAACAGCGAGCCTCTCTTCCAAATCTACAGAGTTTGTAATATAAAATCTGAATAGCTTATCAAGGTTGCATAGCTGTTATGTTTACAAAGAGTGTCCGGAAAGTCTTTATGACAAAAAGAAACAATCTCTGTAAACAATTTAAATTTTAACAAAGCATCTTAGTGAAATTATTCAACTAAAACAAGCGAAAATTCTTGATTAAAAAACAAACATTTAGACAAATGTATTTTTGAGAGCATGCTTTGTATTAACAGAGCTTCAACATTTAAAACCTAAAATTAGAGAATATCTGTGGTCGTATGGAGCATGCAGACAAGGTGAGAAAACTATCAGATGAAAATGTGATCACGTCATGCCAGAAAGCTCTCAAACCAGATGTTTTATCTTTGCTCTCATTTCCAACTTTCAGGTAATAATAATGTACATTTAGACTCATTGGAGAGGAACGTTAAGAAAAAATACATTTCATATAAAGAAAATGTAACAGCAGCTGTATCTTAAAGGTAGGAAGAACCACAGCATCATAGGATAACTACAAAATACCAGTTCTTAATAAACCAAGACAGATTCCTTTGTTAGTGTTTATATCACTTTTCATTTATAATTATTATAGAATCATTCATTAAAAAAACATTTGCTCAAATTGAATAACTTTTCTTATTTTGTCATACATTGATTTTGGAAAAAAAAAATTTGGTTAATCTCAATTAGCTAAACACAAAGCCTCTTATTAATTAGATTCTTTTAATAGCATCCAACCACTACTTGCTTCTATTTTTTTTTTATCTTAGACCTTTGCTGTTGTCTTTCTTTTTGCGGAGACACACTGGACTCCCACTGGGACTACTGTTTAGTCTCCTGCTGATTCCTGTCACTGCTTACTTATCTTTGCACTTTTAAACAGATGAAGACTGAATATTTCTTCAAAAGCTAGAGAACAGTCGAGAACATTTCACTTTGGAAACCGGCAGTCATTCAGGCTGACAGGCACTTTACAAGACGGACTCAGTGGCTCCATGTGGACCACAGCTCATAAAAACTTTCTCTGAATTAACACAATAGATTTGAGGCTGCCAAAGAAACACTCCCTAATGAAACGCATGCACTCTTTGCAGCCACCGAATTCTGTATTAACACATTTATTTCAAACTAGAAAAAAAAATGCAACTCACGCTCAGCAATAATAAGCGGGGGATAGAAGAGGAAGTAGCCCACCAGCTCAGCAGAAAACTGACCAAGAAGGTTGGAGGCGACTGTTCCATTAAGAAATACAGTCCCGTTCTTTACAGCGTAGACTAAAGACACAGCAGGAGAGCCTGGTGTCTGAGAAACACTCAGAATCTAGAAAAAGATTTTTAAAAAAAAGGTTAGCAAGAAAACAAGATACAGATGTAGAAAACGACAGAAGGACATGGAAAACAACAGAACAGTTAGCTATAAAAAAGTGGAAAAAAGGCAGCATATTTTTTTACTTAAATGTGTCAGTGTCAAATTAGCTTTGATACATGGTGCAGTTTAATGTGACAGCATATTAAAATTAATACAAACAGTGGCTCACTGGCATAATTACCATGGATCTGAAAAGCAGCCGGTGGAAAAAAAAAACAGAAACAGCCCAATTCACGAGGGGAGAATTTTGCACAAATGGTGAGCAATTTGCATCTGTTTGAAGCTGCCAGATCTTATAAAACGCCAGATGACTAACAGAAGCAGAGCAGCCCGGCCCCGGCAAATAAAGGTCACTGCATTACCTGAACTGTGAGTCGGCTTTTAGCGTTGAGAACTTTGGCCTGCGCCTCAGAAAAGACCTTCTCGAGTCTCTGTTCCATCATTTGTAAGAAGCGACAGGATCGCGGGTCGTCACCTGACCCCACAAACTGCAACACTGCAACACAAAGAATGGCACAATGTAAGACTGTATGGGCTGCTAGAACGTAGTTCAGATGTACTGTCTATTGTTACTTTACACACATGTAATGTGTCATTTTTGTCTCCGATGTGGTGTGACAAACATTCATTTTTCTCTTTGCGGGGCAAAGTCACAGCAGGGGGGGGGAAAGCACTATGAAGTCTCAAGCTGATCTTGTTTTCACCCTGAGTGAGAGTTGGCTGACCTGTTTTCAGCTGGAAGCCAGTGGCGGGGCTGGATCTCCACAAAGCAACAGGAAGAGGCAGGGCTGTCACCATGGGGAGATACTGTCGCAGGTCTGCAATCAGCTTATCACGGCCGTAGGACATCAAACCCTCTGCTACTACAGAAGGAGGGTAAACTGTCTCTCCTCCTGTCACGTGATAAGCCACAGTCATGTTGGGAGAGCCAAAAACTGTCTCCACCTGAAATAGTTGAGTTAAAAAAAAATAAAAAAAAACAGGAGACGGATGTTTACAGATATACCAGACATAATTTATGGCTCTGCATAGAGCTACTTATGTAAGCAATATGAGTTGGTGAAGAGTCCCTTCGTTAGGTTAAACAATAGCTCATTAGTTAAAAAAATGTTTTAAAAACTAAGTTAAAAATGTGCTGGCAGTGTAGAAAGCATAGCTGTTCCTACTGTTACGGACATTCACGGTGTAGGCGTGCTCTATTATTAAACAGAATTTGTCTAAAGTTGTCTTGCCATGTCAGTAAAATAATAAAAACCCAGACATGATGATATTTGATGTGTTTTTATTACCAAATAAATCTTTTTGAATGTTAACAATTTGAGGCTCCACTGTATTCTGCTGAGGTCTAAAAGTTTCTTGTTCAGGCTCATGTATTGTGCCGTCCACATGATCAGATATTTTAGTGGCTAATTCTAAAACATCAACACATACAATGGAGTTGGAAAATCACAGTTGAGGCAAAATGAAAGTAGGTTTAGTTCTCAGCTCACTGTGGATACTGACCCAACATCACATACAAATTTATCACTTAAATGTTTGCACCTATAATTTGAGAGAGAGAATGGGAACAAAAATCAAATGCAAGTCTCTTAAATGTTACCAAATGCCAGTATGAATCTGTTCATCCACAGTACTACTGGTACCTCTATTGGCAAATAATGTCACATAAATGAAAGAATCCTGCAGGCTGTGTGGGATCCAAGATTGCTTTTGTAATTGATCATTTTTGACTACACAGAATAAATCAGGCCACACACTGATACCCTAATAGGTACATTGAGTAAATCTATCATCATTCAGTTGAAAATATGTTGGCGTTATCTATAGGGTTTTTATGGGCGATGTACTGGTTGTTAAATGTGCTTCTTTGAAGAAAAATGGTCATGTTTCAATCCAAGCAAGCCTTTATCGTATTAACTGCAGTGTGACTGAAAATGTGTAGCCAGGTGTTATATCCCCATCAAATTCAAGTGGGCTCTTTAAGACCTGCTCATAAATATCCATAAATGTGGAGTAAATACTGATAGAACATATTCCGACAGCACCAATTAACCAACTGGTTTGGGTTTTTAACACCAAAATGTAATGAAGTACCTGAGTTGTAGGGAATGTTATTGTGTCTGCTTTTCTTGCTGTGATACAAGTTCTAGTCAAATAAAGAAAAGAAAATAAATAAAGTCAAATTGAATTAGCAAAAGCAGTCAGTTATGATATCTGGAAATGTTAAAATCTGATAAAAAGACCAAGGTCTTCTAAAAACTATTCAAATGGTCTCGGATAGTAAGTCTTCTCTTGAGGTTCAATGACTAACTTGTTGACATAGTAATGTATTTTTCATGTTGGCATTTTTATTTGTTGTTTGTTTGTGTTGCTTCTCGTCATTCAGGTGGACATCTGAACACTCTTCACTTGACTATGAAATCTCTTTATTTAGTTTTTCCATTCATATGAAAACAACATTTTTCTTTTTTACATTTATGTGCTTTTAACTTTTTATTTTTTTAGGAAGTCAGAATGAACTGAGAGGTTGTTGAGAGAAGGAGTCTGTCAAGAGACGGCTTTTGTCATGAGACCAGGTGACTAGAGCTGAAAAATAAATGTGTGCTTTTGCATTTTTGCATCGACAAACAGAGTCTTGATGCGTTTTATCAGGAAGAGTTTGACTTTCTCCTCTTCATAAAAGCTGGGAGAGGAGCGATGATGGAACTAGGTGTTTTCGTACGAGAGGTAGAACCATTCGCATCGGTTATTGAGATCCATCAAAGAGCCCACATTGACGAAGAGGCCAAAACACTGAGAGCCTCTTGTCTCCGTAGCTGAAAGTTACAACTCTGCCTCCACACAATTCAGCCTTGTTACAAGCTCTATGAATAGAGCTCTTTATCATCCCGTCATCCTATCAGGATCAAAGCTATGTGAAGATGCTATTAGGAACAAGCCTGTTATTTCCTTCATGACGAGTAGGACAGATAGATGGAAAAATATAACAAGTACCAAAAAACAAAAGAAAACATGCAGATCTTTAAATGAAAAATTCAAAAATAGCTCTTCAAAACGTTCTTAATCTTTAGTCTTGTGTCTTTGAGCTAATTCATAAAATCAGCTCCGCACGTTTGTCTCCTCCCAACCGATTTAGTCTGTAATTAAATGCAAAGGCAATTTCCCCAGCTATCCTCTGCTATAAATGACCCATGCATTGTTCAAATAGGTGACCAAAGTGCACTGAAGCAAAACACCTTTCAAGACCACCGAGAGACACCGAGGGAGAACATGAGCTTCACATAGTCAGCAGCCACGTAGAGGCAGAAACATTTATTTCTGGGTTAAGAAATACAAAAAAAAGAGAGAAAACTGTTATCGCACTACCCACACTAACTGCAATATTGTTTTTCACACCTAATACAGTTAATTATTGCAGAAATATTAAACAATAGGAGCTAAATTAAAACTCACTCTATGGGTAAACTGATATACTTGATTCTAAATGAAATCAGTCTAATAGTTCAATTTCAAGAAAGTATTGAGGATTGCTTTCAAATATTTACTTGTATATTCAAATAAGACTGAGGTTGTTGCATTTAGGCTTTTAACGTCACAGAAAAGCAAACTTCCCCTTTATTTACAGTGCAAGGTATTATGTTGGCGAGTCACTTTTAAATTGCATATGTGACCTTTACCAACAAAACATTCCCAAACTTGCAGTAAAACATTTCCGTTTACACTCAATGACTTTGATTTGTTAGCGTAAAGGCAGACAAAAATGCTTGGTAGAAACTATTTGCACCCTGAAGTATTCAACCTTTTAATACAAACTAATTATTGTGCTGAGCTAACCAGTACAACCATAGATTAATCAGCTGTTTAAGCACTTTAACATTTGCTACAAACTAGTTAAAGTGAGTAGTGGAGAAAATCTTTGTTTTCTCAACTGAACTTGGAACATCTTTCTGCAGATTTTTCAAATTGAAATGTAAAAATCTTCGTAATAAAAATGGAGCATGTAATTACATTGCATGGTTCAAGCACTCTCACAGGATCAGTGAGTGAGAATATTTGAATGTTTTTTTTTATTTTTTTTTATTGCCTTGTTTGCTTCTGTTGAACACAAGAGGTCAAACAGATCAATAAATTACCTGAAGAGATTATATTTGAAAGTTCTAGCTTTGTTAAATTTGCTCCCTGTAAAAAATGGATGCAAAATGTTCCCCTGATGAATATACTTATGAATTGCATAATATTTTCCAAAGTGGAAACTTTGCATCTCTGTGATAAGAGTACTATTAGTTCCAGGATTGTGCATAAGAAGAGATGAGAGTTTTTAGCTTTTGAGTCCCATCCTCATGAATACCAGCTCAAGTTCTCAAGAATAGGCCTATTTCCCTTTCTGAAGCTTACAGTGAAAGTTTGTTTGTTTGTTGTTTGTTTGTTTTTTCCTGGGCCTGCCCTTTAGTTATGTTGCTGTAATTGTATTCCACTGAGAGTATGTGTTTGGAAACTGGCACTATACAAAAACAATGAATCAAAATGATCCACACAATTTTATTTAATGCCTTTTATGTGTAAAAAAGGGGGAGGAAGGAAATAACTGCACTAAACCCATTGCCGAGTTTAACTCTGCTTTTTTCCGATTTTTTTTTTTCTTTCACATATTTCTATCTGGCTGTTTTCAGTAATAACCTTGCATAGTTAAGAGGTGCTCTTAATACAAATTCACATGGAGTGGAGGTTTTAGAGGGCAGTACGAGAGCGGGGAGATAGGATGCTTTTTGGCACATTGGGAAACATGATTTGTTCCACAAAAAGCTAATCCGAACACAAAGGTCATTTTGTCCATGCACTGGATTTATTATTGGGGAAACACCGAGAGGTTACTTTCTTTCTTTCCCCCCCCACCCTTTTTGACCAAATCCAATCTATGCAAAAATGTTGGTGCAATACCAGCAATATTGCTGCAGATTGTTTATAAAGATGTGACTCTGGTTAACCATAAAAAAAAGTAAACGACATCATCTTTAATGTTGGTCCAGTAACTCAAATTTGTGACACCAAACTGTGTCTTCTGGGAGCCAGTCAACCTAATTTCTATATTAATCTTCATCTCTTCTGCAATAGCCTACATCAGGGTTCTTGGTATGATTACATACCTCCAGTTTTCTTGCAAGGGCAAAATGAGGAACAACTCACAATTGCTTCACTGAACAACTGTTTCTCAAATAGTTAAAAAAAAAAAAACATTCATCTTAAGTAGATTTAGTTCTACAAACAAAGTAAATACTCCCAACCTGCTGTTGCCATTACATGTGAGCCGTTTCGTTTCTATGAATTCATCTGGTAAATCACATCCAAGGCTTTTTTAAAGCTGCTTCATCCTGTTGACCTTTGCCTCTTCCTCCACAGGCCACGGTTTAACCTCGCCTTCATCCCTGCTGCTCCCCCTTAAATCTGCCTTAATCAGTGTCATGTACATCAGTGATGTTGCTCTGTCTGCTGTTTAGTGTGCGTGTAGGGCTGGGTGAGGGCGGGTCTTCCTGCTGCTCTCCCCACTTCAGGCATTTTACATTTGCATGAGGAAGGTCAGGGAGGTCCCTAACAGACAAATACCAAAAATAAAAAGGATTTTGGAGACAGGAGGCTGGTGCAAGCACACAATAATGCGCAGTAATCATGTTTGCTTTGTTTGATCACTTATTGGTGTGATCTGCACATTCTTTCAACTTCTGTGTTGTCAGTGAATGTAACAAATCTCTTCAGCAAAACTTTTTCACACACACAAAAAAACTACACACATTGTCATATTATATTCTGTGGAATATGCATTCTTACCTGTGCTTGGGCTGATGTGTCATTCAAAGCTTTTCTGAGGCCTTGACTCAGTCCCCTTCGCAAGTTCTGCCTCTGAATGCTATCCAGTCTATTCCGTCTTACGTAGATTGAAACAACTAAAACAGGCAAAGAAAAAAAGTCAATTTGGAAACAAAGTATGACAAAATAATATTCTTCTTCTCCAGAGTTTACCTGTTTTCACCCATAACCTCTCAGTTATGTTGCACTGTGGTTGTAGAGCCTCTGTGGTTGTGGTGAAAGGTGAGACAAAGACGGCGGTCACCCCCCTCGGAGGGTTTGCTCTTTGGTTGGGCGATGTGAACGTTCTTCTGCTGGTAAAAGTCCTGATGGTTGTGGTGGTTCTTCCGGTAACGGGTTTGGGCTGCAGAGTGGTCTTGGTGGTCGACGCCATCATTACTTTCGGAGAAGGCGTACTCGCGGTAATGGCGGGAGTTTTTGCAGGTGGCGATGTGGTTGTTGTGGTGAGCTTCACAGGGGCTGTCGGGGTATCGTGTTGCGGGGTCACCAGTGATACCTGAGATGTGTTCTCGATGGGCCCAGCAGAAAGGATTACCCTGTCTGACTGAGAAGAGCTTAGACTGACCTCATTTTCTTTGGGGAAAGTGGACACAACTGATTTAGATGTTCCAGCTGTAAGATCATCCGTCTCTGGCTCTGCAAGAACAAACGCCTCAGTCACTTGTTGTGAGTGATCACAACCTAACGTTAAGGTCAAAGCTGGTGAAAACCAAAGGAATGATACTTTCGATGGGTGTAAGTTTGATAGTGTTGACAATATGTTAGTTCAATAAAACACTGAAGAGATTTTTTTATACGTATGAGGACAACTGAGAGCATGAAGGTGATGGAAAAGCAGTTGACTATGATGGAGATTGACATAAGAATGGAGGAAATGGGTTAGATTGTAAAGCTGACCTCTTTGGTTCGGCATTGAAAGTAATGTTTGAAAATGTGACAGCCAAGTCAAATGCATACTTAGGAAACTGAGTATGGGGCTTTCATGCTCTTATACCTCAGTACAAGAAGAGCAGCTTGGGATAGTATTTCAGAGTTAGTAAGTGTAGAAAAGAAGAGTAGAGACACATCTGAACTCCAGACAGATGCAGCAGAAGTTCCTATAATAACTCCGGCAGTCCACTGGAAGACAGGGCAGATCCAGGATGAGCCCAAAGCAAATCAGGACTTTAGTTCTCATAGTTTTGAAGTCCCTTGAGCAAAGGTAGAAAATGTATGCTCTCCAAAGGTCAGACACTTTGGAAATGGACTACAGGTGACAGCTGTTGAATCATCCAAATTCAATAAATGCACATTATGCTCTTGTTTGTCTTCCAGTTTTTGATGTTCATGTGATGAGCCATCTGCTGCTAAATTAGATTTAGCACTGTCAAAGCTGCAAGATGCGCTTCCTGCTTTAAAAGCACTGCTTTGAACCAGAACTGGCTTGGTGGCTTTCCACTTTGTATACAGAGCCATTAGTTTTTTTGCCAGAGCTGAAAATAGCACTCGATGTCTCCTCGCTGTTTTGTCCATCACTAAAAGAGGTAGTTACTGCAAAGGGAGCGGCTAAGGGAAAGGGTTTTTTTTTTCCTGGCCCAAAATTGAATTTGATTCCTCTCTGCCCATGCTTGTGACTGATCTTACTGCAGATAAATTTGTGTCATTAGTGTCAGGAGGGGTTTTGCTAAGGAGGAAGAAGAAGAACTGGCATAGAATTTGACTGAAGGGCTTTTAATAGGTTTTAACACACAAAATTTTCAGGTAAGGGCAATTTAGCAGAAGACATTCTTCTACTGTCAATATTAAAAAGGAAATAAAAGGTGTCTTTTGAAGTCATAAAAGACAGACGCAGGGCAGACTGTGAATTGCCCTGTCTTGTAAAATGCTGGATCTCTGATCATCATAGACTCTTCATTTCTATTGAAAGAAGGTAGCAACAAAAATACTTTTGGTATTTTGGTGGAAGTCTTTTGAAGTTTTTATGCGATATGTCATTATGTGATTTTGTTTTCTTTCTTAGAAGTCATCTCCGTTCTCTGATCTTCTAGATGTTGAGGTTAAAGCTGGATCCTCAACAGGGACTTTATTTTAGGAGGTTGTTTTGAGGATGTCTTCTCCAAAATCACCTTCTCTGCGTAGAGTCCAAGTGAATTGGGCTTTATTCAAGTTTCTAGTTTGTTATTTAACGCTTTAATGTTCAGTCATTTAGATTGTATTCCTTGCGTCCACTCTCTGCTCATAAGGAGATTTTGCCCTTTTGTTGGGTGTAAATATTGTTAGCGCTGTCCAGCCTGTGTGGGCTACATCCTTGAAAGTGCCGTTATTGTTACAAATTCCTCAACATCTCTCAGTGCATCTGACTTTGATGTGGACGAGGCTGAGGGGGCGAAAGCGTTGGCGGGCTCAGGTCTCAGCTGAGTAAGTGAAAGTGAGTTATTCAGGTGAGATGGCACGTAAGCAGATCCCAGCTCAGCCCCCGATGTCTCTCCCAGGTTGTAATTCATATTGATAGCAGGAAGTCTGGGACTGCTTTGACCTGCTGCCATCAGTAAATCACCAGGGTTAGATCATGCATCTTCTTAGGCGCACGCTACAGAAACGTGGGTTTGTGCCGTCTTGGCGGCTGTGGTTTGAGAGGGAGGCATTCGATCTGATGAAGATTGGGAGGAAAAAAGAAGAAAAAAAAAACATTTGCTGGTTGTGAAGGTTGTTGCGGATGTCACAGTCGGATTACCAAAATGTGAAATGATTGATGACATGCCTTTGCTGCTTCTACAGGATAAAGTGTGACTATCAGCCGTAGTCTTGTCTTGATTCCTCATAAAGGCTGTTCGGTGTAACATCTGCTGTGTGACATGACTGGAAAGTGAATAGCCTTTAGCACGGGCAGACAGCAGTGCTGATGTGGGATTATGTGAAACTCCCTGCTGCCTCTGAACTGCATGACTCCTTTGATTGGATGAAATTGGAGAGCTGTTTTTAAGATTATCAGCACATACAGAGTTCAGGCTTATGTTCAGAGTTTGAATGAATCCATCTAAATTAACTAAATGATTCAGATCATTGTTTGGAGTAGAATAAAAAGTGCTGGTCACCGGCCAAAGTAAGACGAAATGACTGTCATTTTATTGCTATCTTCTCTGCTGGGCTTACTTGGGAACATTGATGACTCACTTGTGGCGTTTTGTGTATCCCATTAAACAACATATACTCACCTCTTATAGGTCACCAACCCTATAAGAGGTGCACTTTGCTGGTCTAATGCTGTCTACCCAAGCCTGAGGCTCAGCAGGTAATAACATTGATACCTCTATCTGAGAAACAGGCTGTGTTGGGCACACTCTCCTGACCCTGAGATGAAACAGCTTTGTTTATCTGCTCAGTGGAAGATGACTGAAAAAATAAAGATAACAAGAATGATGGCACAAAGAAGAAAGATGGTACTGGATCGACATTGCTGTCAGTGATCAAAATGACACGTAATGGCTATGTAGGGTGTTTCTAACAACGGCTAAAAACCAGACCTGAGCGTGCTCTGATGCTGTCTCCGACTGACGGTGATGAGGAGGACATGTCTGAATCTTGGCTGGAACTATGTGAAGGCCATTGGGTGGTGAGTGTATCATCCTTGCTGATAGTTGGCAAGGTTCTACTTTGATCAAGGCTCACTGGATGTTTGACAGTTCCTGCCATCACAGTTATGATAGAGGAAAAAGCCGGCTGTCCTGATAAACCTTCGCCCTCTACATCTGCGTTGCTGTCCGAATGAATCACTTGGAAAGGCACCTCCCCCGTCGCTGTCACCTCAGCCATTGGTTGGACATGAGGACTTGTGAATGCAGAGCTCCTCGGTGGGGAGCCAGAGGCATCATAGGTGGGTTTTTCTGCAAAGAGAACATAAAGAGAAGATTACTTATGTATAGCCCTATTTAGACGCCATTTCTCTGTTGAAAGTTCTTGTCAATTATGAGTCAACTTATCCACTACTAACACTATCCGGCATGAAAATCTATCTATCGTCAATACCAACTTCATTGTGCAGGGACATGAGGAGGAAACATGCCACCAGGGTGGTTGGCCTCAACCTTTGACAGCCAATGAAGGAAAGTAATTAACTATATCACAATTATTATAAACTCTCAGGAAATGCTGTCAGATTACTGCAATAAATACCTGTCAGTCAAAGGTTGCACAATCTTTTATGAGTAATTTTAGATTGATTAGAAGTTGTTTTCCATTACTTCTCTATCAATTTCATAAGTGTCAACAAGCCCGAAAATGTATTAAAACCAAAAATGAATGAAAATGAAATTAAAAACAAAGTTTTCAAGAAATTAAATGACATTTATATGGCTATCACCTTGATTTATGAAAATACTTAAATAGAAAGAAATTGTAACATGTGGACCAAAGGGTTTGCTGTGAGATGCATGAAATGGGGAAACAAAAAAACATGCAGAACTTAATGATTTAATAAAAAGGATAGTTCTCCAGCACTGTCACAATCTTAATGTTACCTACATATTGTATACTGACTAAATTATATTACGATATTCCTCAATAAAGATGTATCAGATAACAACCAGAGATCAAAACAAACCAATTTTACATTGATTAACTCTGATCCTTGTCTGAAAATAGACACTTTTTCTGCATTTAAATATGTCAATGAACAACAAGATCTCTGAGGAATTTTGTTTTGAGTTTAGTTTAGTAAAAATATTTAAAAAAGGCAAGAAACATTAACTTTGGTAAGATAATATTTTGTATTTTGTGGACAAAGCAAAAGCAGCTCATCTGCTGCCCTTCACACACAGAGAGACAAGCACTGACCCATGTAAGGCACAAATGATGTGTTACTGGAGGCTGGCAGGTATTTTTGCTTAACCATTGCAATGATGCAATGATGGGAGGACTTGTGGTTTGACAAAGCACTCAAGCAAACATAAAAAAATCAAATAGTATTCATTTTATTCCGTTTTTCTTCTATTAAGTATGATTCTCACTTTGTTCATTTCTTATTTTTGTCTTCAGGTGAAATGTTTCAAAGCTGTAGCCAAGACTTTTTTACATTGTTATAGAGATACTATTATAAAGTTGTTTTCTCTGGTGCACTGAACACATAAAATATTTATTTTTCCTTGTGCAAATGTTAAGACCTTCATAAACACTGCTCTGAGCCCAGGTTTGGGGTGTAAATGCATTTTTCTGACGTTCGCTGACAGCATACCAAGGGCAGACAGTGGCGCATTCCTTAATAAAAGAAAACGGAGGCAAAGCTTAAAGCAGAACAAATGGAATTATTCAAGAGATTGCAGCCATAAGCTGACCTGAAATCTGACTTCCTGAAAAACACAAAAAAGACTCCCGGCGCAAAGCTGTTTGCGTTTGCAAAAATCACAGCTCAGAAATAGGTAGCATGATGGATGTGGAGAGCAGAAACTAACAACAACATGCTTGTGGTGATTACCAGACTGAATTCAGCTGAAGTGGATTTGTCTTTCGTCTTCTCCCATGCTCTTAGCTGCCCTTATTTTGTGGCACGTTATCGACTCGACCAAACAGGGTTCCTTTCTTCCATTTTTAAAACTTAGCAGTCGTGTCACATCTGCCGCCCCCTTAGCAAGTTTCCGCCGCTGAACTGCAGCAGCTCACACACTCATGTACGACTGCCATTTCTGAGCAAACATGAACAATGGTGTTTGAGGAAACCTTATAATGTCTGCAAGACGATCCAGCTTTATTTGATTTGTTTCATAAATCTCTGATTACGGTAGTCAAAATGTGAAAAGCTAAATTGCTCTTCACATTTTGAAATGTTGAATATGTTCTCACAAACTGTTGATATGAAGAGAAATTACAATTACGTACTCACAAAATGACCACTAACAAAACAAAGGACATGAGTCCTGCTTCAAGGCCACAAAGAGGTCAGTAAGATCTACTACAGCCTATTAGTAAGCCCAGCGGCATCATAAATGTGACTGTATGCAAGAGATGCCAGCGCAAGTGGAGGTGTGAAGTTCACCTGCGGTTTGCCACCTGCTCTGACGGTATGGAGCATAAGGGAACATTCTCAGCAGCATACAAGAGGACAAGGTGTGCAGGTGACAGGAGAGAGGAGGAAGTAAAGGATGAACTGGGAATTAAAAGAGAAATTAATGAGAGGTGACACATGATTGAACTCAGGCTCTCGGAGTATAAAAAACTAATTTCTTTCAAAGTTTTCAGTTAAGAAAAGTAATATAAACAACTGTTTTTGTCTTTAAAATGTATCAAAACACAATAATACAGTAAGTATTTATGCTGATGGTTTTTTACAGTGAACGCACTAAATGAAAACAGTGGAATTTTAATTGTTGTACCAACACAGTTTAGCTAAAGTGAATTAACAAGATTTTACAGATATAAATCTAAACAGTGAAACATGCATTCACTTTTGTGCCCCTTTTACTTTTACGCTATTAAGGAAAAATGTGTGCAGTCAGTTTTCAGAAGTAATGTCCACTTCTGAAAATTGAATCTCAGTATAAATGCAGCTTTTCCACAAAGGCCTCAATTTTATCAGAGAAGATTTTTGAACATACGGGTAAAAACCAAGGAAGTCATGAGGATATAAAACAATATTTGTCTGTACAAACCTATGGCCAAGCACACAAAACAGAAGGTCGGGGTAAGAGCACATTAATCATAGAGGCAGTCAAGAGGGCTACTGCTGCAGAGATTCACATCTGCAATGAGATAATTTGTAGACAGAACATGTATTGGTTGCATACTCCATAAATACGTTTTTATGGAAGTACAAAAAGCTAAAAGTCCACAATCCATGATGGCAGGCCTGACAGTCAAGGAGTTCTGGTCAGATGTTTCCAAAACTGAGCCTTTTTGTCCACATGCAAAAAATTGTGTTAAAGAAAATTAACATAACACATCACCCTGGACACACCAGTCCAATGGTGTCATCATGTGCCTTATTTCTCCAGGAATGAGGCACATCAGAATTGAATAGAAAAGTGATGTAGCCAATACAGGGAAATCCTGCAGGGGAACTGTTTGATGCGGCAGAAGTCACAACATGTACAAAAAAGTGAAATTAATAACTTTGTTAGGAACCATAAAGCCATTTAGAACAGAAATCATTTTAATCTCAGCTTTGCTTCAAGTTAAATACCAGAGTGCATTGACAAAACATGGAGAACAAGAGTAAAAATACAATTCAAAGATTCAAAGCAACATTTCTCTGTTATTTCTCATTTAAATAGATGTTGTAGAGATTAACTTTATATACGTACACATTTTAATTTGCTCACAATGGTGCTTGTCATCTGTTTACCTTTGCAATAAAATCAAATCTTGAATATTAATGTAAGTGTTGGCCATTAGACAAATAAGTCACTTGAGATAAACAATCAATTAAATGTAAACTTCAAAAGCACCAACCTTCATCAGCTTTCATTTTAGCAGAGACACATAAACTGTCTTTATCAGTTTTGATTTAAATGTGCCTGTAAATATCTTCGGTCAATTGCTCTTATTTACATCAGTGGAACCCTTTATTAAGGGACACACTTTATTAAGTATGTCAAAAATTATTCTCACAGATAAGCGTCTGTTATTGAAACAAAGAGTTGTTATGCGCAGGAAATATTGGTCACCGTTAAATACAAATATACATTCTACTCTTGACACAACACCCAATACCACAGGCTCCTGAAAGAAATTAATATTTGATCAGTAGGTCATTTATTCATTACAAAACACTTGGGGTTTTTTTAAATAAAAAGAAGGTTCTGTGACCCTCCTCAAGGCACACTGTCCTACACGTTTTAGAGGTTTCGATGCTATAATGTGCCTGATTCAACTGATCGCAGGGCATGCAGGGCGGTGTGCTTTGAGGACCAGGGTTGGGAAACACTGAACTAGCAGATCCAAACCACAGACTTCATTTTCACACTGATTTTACCCCCTCTGCAGCCAGCATTATCTTTTTGCTACAAGGGCGCAAACGTGACATTAGTGGGGCCTGCACTGCTGCACTCTTGTTATGCACACCCTTTCCTTTTGCTTTGAGCTGTTTTTGTTCTTTCATGTGCAGAAAACAGTAAACAAGACAGTATAATTCAAATAGTAGCCTAACGGTCCGCTGTGAGCAGAGAAACACGCTGAAGAGGTCGAGCTGCTTTTTTCATTTTTATGGAAAGTGCCTGAAAAGTATATTTTACACATTGGCGCATATAGAAAAGCAGTTCCACACACAAGTGCTTTGAGCTGTTGTTCTTTTGAAATTATAAACTAATGCAGCTGAACATATGCATTTTCATCTGGTTTCAAGCTTGGAGAAGAAAACCTGTGGCTGAGATGGACCACTGGGCCAAAAGGATATTTGTAAAGTATGTTACACTCATTTTTCTGCATATGTTTTATGAACCGTGAACCTGAGTGCAGTTTTTTTGGAATTTGATCTGATAACCCATCACAAAGTAGAGCATGAAACAAAGAAAAGAAAAGTATTGTATGTATTTCCATGAGTCCTCTTTAAGACAACTCTGCAAACAGGGTTTCACATAATTTGGAGCGTTTTCATACCAGCTTTACACATCTAGAAGCAGAAATATTCCATCATTATTCCACTATTGGGCAATAAGCATGGGATAGGTCACTAGGCAACAAAAGACAAACAAACATGCATGCACTCACACCTAGAACAATTAATGTGATGGACTGTGAGAAAAATCCGGAGTGGACAGAGAGAACCTATGCATGCGCAGGGAAAATATTCAAACTCTATGCACAAAGAACCCAGAATTCAGACCTAGAATGTGTTTAGCTTGTTGGTGATTTTCTCTCTCAGGTCATGCATCACTGGATCCATCATTCACAAGTC